TGTGTTGCAGCGGCAGCCTGCCACGAGCTGAAATGCTCCGCAAACGGGAGGACCGCAATCATGCCCTCCGCCGTGGCTTCTCCATGCTGCCAGAGGTCCGTGCGAAACAGCTTGGTGTCCTCTCGATCCCATGCCTGTGATGCTCCGAGGCATGGAGGCGCCACGTCCCTGCCCTCTGGGATCGGCTGTGCTGCGGTGCTGTTGGGACCGCTTCTGTGCCCTGCCTCCGCCGGGACCTCTTCCCGAAGCGAGCACCGCCACCCCTTGCCGAGCAACAAGCGGCTGATTGACGTCCTCCTGCCCACTCCTCAGCATACTGGCACGCGCCCTGCAGATCACAGGCAACCCTCTGTTTTGGTGCCGCTGCTCCTCCTCTCAGTGAAGGGGCAGGACTGCCCCGACCTCCTCCGGAACCTCCACCTGGCGTGTCGACGGCACCTCCTCGTAGAACGACGAGCAGCGGATCAACGTCGCCCTGCCCAAGCTGCAGCAGCGTCTTCTCGTCTGCCTACAATATGAAGGCACACGCCCGGCGCACTATCCCCGGCACTCCAATCGTCGCAGAAGGCCTCACATGTGGATTCTGCGACAGCTCCACGGTCTTCCCAACAGGTGCCTAACGCGCAGGTCACTACCGAAAATGTCAGGCGTATCAACGAGCAAAAAACGGACAACGCACCTCTGCAGGCTCCAATGACAGCCGTAGCCCTTCAGCCACTCCTCTGCTGCAACCCCCACCAGCCGCTGAGCCCCGACAATCCACGGGAGGCCCTGCCGCACACGCTGTGGGAATGCCCCCGTCCTCGACAACTGAGCATCCGACTATTTGGAAACATCACCTCTCGCACGACAGCACCGTTCAAGACGGAAAAACTGGCCACATCGCTGCGGACAGCCCGCAGGCCATTAACGGACAGTGGCTGCAAAGTATAACGAAACAAATACTTCCCTTTCCTCAGCATAGAAAAACTTCACCTTCACACTCGCAATTGCCGCCAATGAATTCATTGCGCAATACCGCTCCGAGCTGCAATACTTCCTGGTGCCATCCAGGTCCCTTGTCGACACATTGATGCGGGTGGGCGCCCATCCATTCCTCCCAATGACGCTGCATGTCTGCGACGCACCCTCAGATCCAAGAGGCACGCCCCTCACCACAGCCGGGATCGACTTCGCCCTGTCGGCACGCATCGCCTTGTCAGAGGGGCAGGAGCACGTCAGGCTGGCAGCAAAGCACCCGCCAGCACAACGCATCACAAACATCATCACAACCAGAAGCACCAGCAGCACTGCAGACCGTGGTGTGACGTGGATCAACTGCCGCATGCTGTAGCAGAAAACATTTAATGGCTTGAGAAGGATAAGAAACACTCACAATACCTCAAAAGAAAATAATAAAATAAAAATAGAAAATCATACGTTTGCAGTCAAGGCAAACCAATAATCGATAAAGAAAAGGGGTAACAGGTGCTCTCAACCACAACAAATAAGACAATAAAAAAAAGAAAAAAATAATAAAAAGGCCGAAGCGTGCGACGACCAGCGCACACACTCTCATTGCTCCCGTAAAGCAAAACACACACACAGAGGGAGAGAGAGAGAGGTCGCCCACTCAAGGCAATGGAAACAGAAACAGTTACGGTGCTCCGCCCATGCAGCCAGGCAGGACGGCAGCGGTGCGTGTCGTGCAAAAGAGAGCACCAACGGGCCTGCATGGGTGTGCATGCATACATACAATGGGCACATTATGTGTGTGCCTCGTGGGGTGAGGTGACGGTGAGGGGTTAAGACACATTATTGAGGACAATCCTAAGTGTATCATCAATTGCGCCTAGTTGTCGTGTGCCGTTAGGACTGATTTTTCTATTCATGGTCGAATAGGTGTTTTGAGTTCTTTCAAACCCCTGTTACTCTAATATTACTGGAGGAAAATGGAGGAGGAAGCCTTCTTGTTATTATGCGGGCCGAGGTGCTCTCTGTGCGCAGCTTGTTTTTGGTTGCCTTCCCATTTCTCGGTCCACTATCGACATGTTGGTGACAACACTTTGCTGCAAGGAGCGGCGAATAAAGGCAGCTCGAAATCACGCGCCATGACGCGGGAGCCGCAACGGAAAAATGAGTTTTTGGAGTCTCGCGGGATACAGGCATCCTTTGCCTACGTGGTGTCAGCAGAAAACCCTGCAGACGGCATACCGCGTGTTCGCGTGTTTACACTTCAGGACGTGGCGAAGGGAAGCGGCGGGGTCTTGTGGCAGGAGGAGTCCAAAGTTTGCCACTTAGTGAGTTATAATATATCTAGTACTAACAAAGTACATCGTATCATGACAGTGGCAGTCCGAATATATATTCTTGGAGCAGACACTGAGGAGGTGGCGAACCCACGGCCTCCCTATTTAACCTTTCTCTTCATCCGTCATGTTTGACTTCTTTAGATCATTTCAGGATCCGGCCAGCAGCCCAGCCCAATATTGCTTTGTATAGGCGGTTGTGGGTTGTTAGTTCTGCCACTTGGACGTTTGGCATGCAGCAAACTGCGGTGGGCGATTAATAGCTATTTGCCTCTATACGAGCACCTGTGAAGGGGTGTTTGTTCTCTGGTTGCCGGAGCTTTTAGTGCGTGCGAGACGTCGGCGGTTGCTTGTTTATTTTCCATTATTTATTTATTTGTATTATCGTGAGGCGCTGTTTTGCCCGATGGGGCGCAGTGTTAGGAAGGAGAACTGTTTGCGCAAACTGGCGTCACGCCGTGCGGTGCGTTTATTGGGAGAACAGCGGCTCTGTTGAACAAATGTTCAACTTGACGGCAAAATACTTTTGTCGGGATGCCGGTGGTAGGAAAAGATGTGCTTAGCCCAACACCTGAAAAAGAGTGGCACCATTATTTTGAGTAGAATCCGCTTTTGCTTTGGAATTTATGGCCATGAGGGTGTAATTTCCTCTTCGGCAAATATGGAAATGAAAAGCGACGCTGTTGAACTCAACAATAGTTCTTTAATTGTGTAGCTCCTTGTTGCATTGTTTCTCGGTAGCGGGGGATCATCGTTCCACCGTGCTAGCTCGGTGGCATGGCGTATCGTGCGCGTTTCACGCCCTCTCCGGGGCCGGGACCTCCTTTTACGTTTCCACTCGGCAGGGCGGACGTGCTCGAAGACGGTGGCCGGCGTGTGGGTTATGGAATTTATTTGGAAAAAAACACGATGAACAAGCAACAGAAACGCAATGGACTCATATTTGGCACTCGATTCTGGAAATTTACATTGCGTTTCATCGATTTGGAAAGTTGGTTTATGGAACTTGTCTTGGCGATGCGAGCTTGGGATTCTTGCACGTGCCGCATGCTTGAGGAATGGGCGTGTGAAAAATAATTCTTTCCCGATCTTATACATCGTTGCTGGAGGCATGGCGTTTTCAAGGCGCGGATCCACGTTGTCTGTCGATGCAGTCGACGAAAGGCGACACACGCATGGAGCCCGCTGGAGAAACCGCTGTTGAAGTGATTTCGGGCCGTTTTTCACCCACCGAGTGAATTTCCATCTCTTTTCTCCTGCCCATAGATGCGGGTTTCTGCGAGAGACTTTTTTCTGCAATTGAATACCTATATGGGTGGTGGAATTTCCTTCTCCAGCGCACCCGCTATTTCCTTTGTACTATATATATGGAGAAAGAGAGAGAGAGAGGGAGGCTCTGTATTTGGTTTACGAATGGGAATGCGAACTGGAAAAGAAGACGCTGTGACCCTCTTTCTACGAGGTCCCCACAACCTTATTATTGCTGCATGGTTTATTCTCCCTTTCCTGAGGGGCTTCCCTCTGCCCTTTAGGGGAAAGCATACAATCAAACATAACATGAACGAAATTATTACTCGCTTCTTTAGTTGTTCCTCACACTGTAAGCCTGAGGTTCTGGGCCGCATCCTTCACGACGTCGAGAATTTGTGCAACACCTTCCATTTCTACTGTCGTGACGCCACTTGGGGAGTGACACAACAGGAAAAACTTTGCATCTATGGTGGGCTTCCCATTACTATTAAGAAGAGCAACAGCGACCACACTTCTTTAACCCCAGACAGCCGTGAACAAGCGCCACCACATCGTTATGTCTTGCCCTTGCAGATATGGCTGACGCGCTTGTACCCCATTGAGCCTCCTCTGGTGTTTCTCCTCAGCGCGGAACAAGGCTGCAGGATAGCGAGCAACCACAAATACGTTGATGCTACCGGACGTTGTCACACGCCGGAGCTAGCAGCATGGCATCCAGTTTCATCCTCACTTTGTGATGTCGTCAAGAAGCTGTGCCAGTTGCTGTCAGCTGAGGGCTTAATCCCGCTTTGTTTTGGTGAAGAAGGCGTCAGCTCACCCTCAAAAGGCCATGCGACAGCAGTCTCACAGCGATTGCGTCATGGATTAGAAAATGGTGACGATGATAAACAGACGGATGAGCATGAGAGGTGCGTGGTGTGCTTTTCTCCCAAGGAAACGGTGCTCGTTCCATGTGGACATTATTGCCTATGCGATGCATGCGCAACAAATGTGACTCATTGCCCTCTGTGTCGTGGGTCGGTCAAGTTCCGTCAGCGTGTGTTTTCATGACAGTCAAGGGGTCGTCTAGTTGAAGAGAGAGACAAAAGCCGAGACGCCACAAAGTACTGTCGGAAGTTATTCACGCAGTGAAACGATCCCAAATGGCAATGGCACACCAGTAAAAAGAAGAGAAACATGCGCAGTGATATGTTGTCTTTGTCCACTGAAGCCTTGACAATTGCAAAGGACTTCCTTGAATTTCTCTCAGGCTCCTTTGGTGTAACTTGGATTTTATTTTCCGCATTAATTCGAGGCAAAACAACAGTGGACCGCTAAAGCATCGTTCTCATTTTGGTTGATGCCAAGCATTTGGACCGCCCCAATCGCGTTGCCACCCGCAACCAGCGTCTCTGGGAGGTGGCGGGCTGGTGACGAGACGTCCCCGCCGCCCGGAAACACGCGCAGCACACGTGTCCTCCCATGAGAGGGCGGCGTTTGACACGGAGTGGGGCCGACATGATGGCACCGCGCCTCCCATGGGCCGAAGCGCGGCGGCCAGGCAGAACGGAAGAAAAAGCCCTTGCGGCGAAGGAACGCCCCGCGAGCGGGAGTAAAAAGGCCGTCACGGGCAAGTTCCTTCCTGCGGCGCGGCCATTTGTTCCACCCGGGCCACGAGGTGTCGCAAAACGCTTTTCGCTGGCGGATCTCACGAGCAGCTGGAGGCATCAAGTATCCTCAAACAGCACTCACCGAAGTCTTCGCGGAGAAGTTATGGGAATCGCCCCTGATGAGAGTGTCTTCACGAAGAACCTCCTCATTCATTGCCTAGTTTTTCCTCCCGGCTATGCCGATCCCGCGGACAACGATTCCGACGGTAGCCACAAGGGAAAAGAGCAGATTTACATTCAATTTGGGTTGGCAAGAAAATGTCCGTCACCGCAACCTTCTCCACTGCTGCACCAAGCTACCCACACGGCCGCCGATTTGGGTTTCCAGAAGATCGTCTGTTCCGACGCCGTGGGAGTGCGTGAGTGCTATCCGCTTCTCTCTCCGCCGTTGCTTTCTTTGGACGCTCTTGTGCCGGACAGCCGCCCTGCAGGTATAGGCATTGACAGACACACAAGCACATGTAAATACGCACAGACACACACACACACAAACACACGCCACGTCGTACATGCTTTGGAGAGGCGTGAACGCTGAAAACGCACGTACGCAGAAGATTCTGGCTGCGGTGGCTTTTGCGAGGAGGAAAAAAGCCTGCAATTCATTTTTCTGACATGTTGCTGGTGTGGTGTTGGCGGCATGCAGCTGATTGGGTGGTGTGTCATTGAGGGTGCCTGGGGTACGTGCGTATCGCCTCCCGCACACCAGCTGCACGTGCTGCCGTCTCTCTTTTGCTGCTCATCGGCCGATGTGGGATTCTTCGTCTGTGCGGGGTGATGTGCGCCAGCAGCGGAGCGGGTGCGATGGAGGGACAAGAATTGAACGACGGGCGGCAGCGCTTTATTGCTGCGAGGGCGGTTGTGCTCCTTTGCCTCCCGCTGGTTGTTATCGTGTGTGGGCGTTGCTCGGTGTGTGCTGACGCGTGAATAACGACACACCCGCCGTGACTCCTGCTGCTGGTGGTGGCAGTCGCTGTGTGTTCCCGGTGCACTGTTCTTCCGTCTCGTTCCGTGTGTCTGTGTGCGTGAGTTGTTGTTGTGGGGAGTGACTGCGACGGGGTTGATGGTGCCACTCACTGTGGATGACGGTGCTCATTCTTTCACCCATATTTTATTATCCTGTTTTCTTCATTTCTTTCACTCTCTCACGAAGAAAGCAAACAAGCGCTAAACGCTACTGTGAAATTCGAAGGCTCTGAAAGGACCAACAGCACACACACCGCCCACACACACACATATTTGTATGCTCTCACGTGTTGCTGCAGTGATGGCACCCCGCACACACAACCGTCGCCGCGTGGCCGGATCCAGCGGAAGGAGGAGGGAAGGAAGAGAGAGTGAGCGGCAGAGGCCCCACATGTTCCGGCGTGTGTTTACTTCCGCGGTGCTGCTCCTCCTCGTCGTGATGATGTGCTGCAGCAGTGGCGGAGCTGCAGCCAATAATAATGGGATTTCAGGTCAGGAATCTTCACCGAGGAAACATTTTTTTTGGAGAGATAAGAATGAGGGAGAAACAGTGAGTTCTTTACGTGTTCCAGTTCTTGTTGAGATGAATGATGATGTGTTTGCCGTTGCCGAGGCGCAGTTGAAGGATGAAAGCGGTTTTACTGGGATTGCCTCGGAGCTCCTGGAGTGGACCGATAAAGAATCAAAAGAATTGGATGCAACTAAACTGAAGACACTCGTACTGGAGGAATATCAGTTTGAACAAGGGGAGTTTCCTTTCCCAAACGTTACTCAGAATGCCTCCCATAACCGGACGAAAGTACGTGTGAGCCGGCCAACAACAGTTGTGAATGGGAGTGTTATTTACATGTTTGCTGGAACCTACAGGTTTGAAGTTACTGATAAGGCAGCTGGTAGCACAGCTGCAGCAGTTAAATGGGAACTTTTGGTGGCTGTGGGAAACGTCAGTAATGATGGGAGCAGCGGTAAAAAAATTTATTGGAAAGACGCTTCCGTTATCCCGTGGACTGAGTTTGAAAACCAACACAAATCCTTGACAGGGCTGATTGGCGGCGGTGGATCGGGTGTTCAGACGAAGGACGGTACGCTTGTGTTCCCAATGGAAGGGACGAAGGATGGAAAGGCCGTTTCGCTCATCATATACTCCTCAGACAATGCGAGTGGGAATCTGTCGAAGGGGATGTCTGCCGACGGCTGCAGTGATCCCTCCGTCGTGGAGTGGAAGGGAAAACTCATGATGATGACTGCGTGCGATGACGGCCGCCGCAGGGTGTACGAGTCCGGTGACAGGGGGGAGTCGTGGACGGAGGCCCTCGGGACACTCTCGCGCGTGTGGGGCAACAACCAAAAGCGACATGAGAAGGGCGTTGGGAGCGGTTTCAGCACAGCGACGATTGAGAACAGGGACGTGATGCTCGTTACTCTGCCGGTGTATTCAAAGAATGGAGAAAAGCGTGAACTCCATCTTTGGCTGACGGACAATACGCACATTGTTGATATTGGGTCGGTGTCCGGTGATGATGACGCTGCCGCCAGCTCCCTGCTGTACAAAAGTGCTGGAAGTGGAAATAATACTAATGAGAGGTTGATTGCACTGTACGAGAAGAAGAAGGGCGATGGGGAAAGATCATCACTCGGCATGGTCTCTGTGCGTCTGACTGCGCAGCTGAAGCGGGTGAGGGAGGTGCTGGCGGCCTGGAAGGAAGTGGACGGCCGTGTCTCCAAGCTGTGCCCTTCAACTGCTGCGAAGAATCCCTCAACTGGCAATGGCTGCAGCGCTGTTAAGACCACGGATGGGCTGGTTGGCTTTTTGTCCAAAAACTTCTCTGGTAACACATGGATGGACGAGTACCTCGGGGTGAACGCCACAGTAAGGAAAGGAACGAATGGGGTGGCAACAGGGTATGCGGATGGAGTGACGTTCCATGGAGCGTGGGCGGAGTGGCCTGTTGGCGCGCAGGGGGAGAATCAGCTGTACCACTTTGCGAACCACAACTTCACTCTTGTGGCGACGTTGTCCGTCCACGGTGAGCCGAAGGGAGATACCCCCATTCCATTGATGGGTGCGACGATGAATGACAACAAGAAGACTGTGCTCCTGGGACTGTCGCACGACAAAGAGGGGAAGTGGCAGTTGCTGTGCGGTGGCAAAACGACCAAGGAGCTCCGCAGTAATTGGGAGCCAGAGACAACACACCAAGTGGCCATTGTGCTACGGAACGGCACCCAGGGCTCCGCGTACGTCGATGGTCAGCGTGTGGGAGATGCGCCATGTGAATTGAACAACACGGATTCGAGAGGAATCTCCCACTTCTACATTGGAGGGGATGGGGGCAGCGCAGGGAGCAAGGAAGACGTGCCTGTGACCGCGACGAATGTCCTGCTGTACAACCGCCCGTTGGATGACAATGAGATCCGCGTCCTCAACGCAAACAAAGTTTCTATTCCAAAGCTGACAGATCTGAAAACAGTGGCGGCAGGAGCAACGGGTGTCGGTGCCGCTCGCCACTTTGGGGCAAATGGTGATGGCAGCGCTGTTTGCGGAGGCGGACTGCTGCCGCTGCTCCTTCTGCTGGGACTGTGGGGGATTGCCGCTTCTTGAGGAGTGTGTGGTCTCGGCGTGGAACACCTCGGCACCGAATTACTTCCCCATGGGAACAAATTTCACTCATAAAACTTTTTTTTTGCGTATTTTAAATTTATTTTACTGTTTGCTTCTTTTTGGTTGATTTCACTTTTTTTTTTACTTTCTTTTTTTTGCGTGTTTTTTCTAATCCCCCATCCCTCCTTTGCTTTTGGGGGCAATCACTATGGACGGTTTTTTCTTTTCTACTCTTCCCTCTTTAATTGTTTCTTCTGCACTCCTCCTGTGAGGGGTGCCGTGTGTTTCCGCCCAACTGCTCCACTCGCACACCCACCGACACGCTCATGACGACGGCCCTGTGCGCCTCGCCTGCTGCACGCATGAGGAGGGGCCGCGACGAACGGCGCGCTGAGGGAGCCGTGACGTGTGGGCGTGCGACGAGGGCCTGTGGGGCGGAGCACACATTTCTTTCCCTCCTGTTTTGTTTTCTTGCGGTCAGGGCGGGCAGACACCCGCAGCACCACACACACAGCCACACCCTGCCGCCGTGTTTTTAACATTTTTTTTTTTTTTTTGCTGCGCTCACTCTCCCGATGGAGTGACGCGACTGCCGTCATGTCTGCGTGCTTCTCTCAGTCCCACACACACGAGTGACTGTGCTCTGCGGGCCGCACTCACGCGCCGGTGGGAGGGCTGAGGGGAGCAGCAACACGCAGATGACCCCGTGAAATATAAACGATGTGCGGACACGCAGAGGGTCGGACGGTTGAACGACATTTAAATATCTTTTAATTTTATTTTGCGGGCAAAATACATACAGACAGTTTGGTGTGGCCACACGGCAGCCGGCTGCTTTTTTAAATTTGTGTGGAACAGTAATGTACGATTTCTTTTATTTATAATTATTTTGTGTGATGGGGTTTGTGTAAGTTGAAGGGGAAAGTTTTTTTTGTTTTGGATAAATTTTGTGTGAATTGCCGCTGCTTGGGCTGCGGTGCAGTCATGAGTTTGGGCGGTCTTCTTGTTGTTGTTTCCGCCATGCGTCTCCGCTGTACATTTTGTGCGTCCCTCCACATACTCTGCTTCCATTTCTCTGCTTCTTTGCTTTGTGTTTCTGCAGGCACACACACAAGATGCACATTGCAGTGGATTTGAATGCTTCTTTTGCAGTGCATGCTGGCAGTTGCGTGTGGCGGCTGTTGTCTTCTTCCGTGGCCATGAGAAGAATGGGGAAGGGAGTGCGCAGCCCGCGTCTCCTTTTCTGCGGGTGTGGAGCACCGCGTGTGACTGCGTTGAGTTGGGCTCCGTGTGCGTTGTGTGGTGGCCGCGGGTTTTTGCCATTTCCCGTTGGCTGTGGAAATGAGCTGGGAGGAGATGGTGGTGGATGTCTTCTCCTCATGCATGGTGGGTGGCTGCTGGCGTTGTGTGCCTTTCCTGCGTGGATGCCGTCTCGTGGTGTGTGAACTGTGCGGCTGGGCCTGCTGCCCTCTCCTCATGTTGTCTGCTCTCTCTCTCGCTGTATCTGCGGTGCCCCGTCCCTCTCCCTCTTGTTGCATTCTTTTTCTTCTGTCTCACGGATCAGCTGACTGGCTCCAGCGACTCCACCACGGGTGACGATGACTGCGATGATGACGGTGCGGCGCCGTGTTGGTCCTTGCGCTCTTGTGCTGCTGCTCGTTCGTGTGCGTGACGGCGACAGGAGACGGTAATAATGATAACAGCAGTCCTCCCAGCCCCGAGCTAGGGAAACCGGATCCTACAAAAAATATGCCTGGTGCATTGCAGCCAGATGGTGGGGAGACCGGTGGGCCACAGACAGAGAGTGGGAGAGACAGGGAGGAAGGTGTAAGAAGACAAGGACCTTCTTTGCCAACGGAAGCAGGCACAGCCATCACTGGACAGACATCAGTTCCGCCAGAGTCACTGAGTTCGGCTAACTATAATCCAGAGCCACCAGGTTTGGCAACTCAGTCTCCACACACACAAGGTGCGACCGGTATGTCAGATGCACAAAACAAAAAAGCGCAGGAAAATACACAAGTTTATGAGAATCATAAGCAGAGATACAAAAATCAGAAGATCAAAATGTCAAATGCAACTACAACGACTACAGAGGCGCCAACTACGACGACCACCCGCACACCGTCACGTCTGCGCGAAATGGACGGCAGCCTCAGCAGCTCTGCGTGGGTGTGTGCCCCGCTGCTGCTTGCCGCATCCGCGCTGGCGTACACCGCTGTGGGCTGAAGAGGTGTATGCGGGCTGTGCGTGCCAGCACTCAGCCACGGGGACTTGTGCACGTCTACCGTGGTCCGATGTAAATAAATAATAGAAAATAATGACTGTGTGATTTGCTTCATTTGCTTACGCTGCCCTGCTGTGTGCTCCGTGTTGCTGCTCCCTGTATCCGTCACGTTGAACGCATCCCAGACACACTCATATGCATGGCACGCACACAACTGTTTGCGTGGACGCATTTTTGTGTGCGGGTGCATGTAAACTGAAGCCATTCGGTGTAGCTTGTTTTTTTGTGTTTTTACTGTTTTTCTCATCGCTGATTTTTTAATTTAGTTCTGTTTTTCCTTTTTTTTTTTTGTTAAATTATTGCGGCGCGCTGTGCGTTTTTTGCATTTTCATTGGTTCAATATTTCTCATCGAATGCGTGTTGCTGCTGCTGGTGTTTTTTACTGTGCCGTGTCTTTTCTTTTCTTTTCACTCTGCGTTGACGTGTTGTTAGTTGTTGCTGAAGGCTGCACGCAAGTGACAGGAGTGATGGCGATGATGATGACTGGCCGTGTGCTGCTGGTGTGTGCCCTCTGCGTGCTGTGGTGCGGTGCGGCCGATGGAGATGTTGGTGTTGTTTCTGGTGGGGACGACAACATTCTGAAAGAATTATTTATTCCAGTTGCGAGATTGCAGTTAAGAAAAGAAGGAGGAGCAGCAGAAGCAGCAGCCGACGCAGAGGCAGCAGCAGAAGAAGCAGAGGCAGCAGCAGAAGCAACAAAAAAAGCAGCAGCAAAAGCAAAAGAAGCAGAGGCAGCAGCAGAAGCGGCAAAGGCAGCAGCAGAGGCAGCAGCAGCAGCAGCAAAGGCAGAAGAATCAGAAGCAAAAGCAAAAGCAGCAGCAGCAGCAACTGAATCAGCAAAAGCAGCAGCAAAAGCAAAAGAAGCAGAGGCAGCAGCAGAAGTAGCAAAAGCAGCAGCAATAAAAGCAAAGACAGCGGCAGAGGCTGCAGCAGCAAAAGCAGAAGAAGTAGAAGCAAAGGCAGCAGCAGAGGCAGCAGCAAAGGCAGCAGCAGAGGCAACCCAAGCGGCAAAGGCAGCAGCAGAGGCAGCAGCAACGGCAACAGAAGCGGCAGAAGCAGCAGAGGAAGCAGCAGAAGCAGCAGCCACAGCAGCAAACGCGGCAACACCTGCAGGAGCAAAAGCAAAAGCAGAAGAAGCAGCAGAAGCAGCAGCAACATCAACACTAGTAGCAACATCAGCAGCAAAAGCAGCAGACGAAGCAGCAGAAAAGGCAGCAAAAGCAAAAGCAGCAGCAGAAACAGCCGAAGCAGCAGCAGCAGCAGCAACATCAACACTAGTAGCAACATCAGCAGCAAAAGCAGCAGACGAAGCAGCAGAAAAGGCAGCAAAAGCAAAAGCAGCAGCAGAAACAGCCGAAGCAGCAGCAGCAGCAGCAGCAGAGGCAGCAGCAGCAGAAAAAGCAGCAACGGAAGCGGACGCAAAAGCAGCAGCAGAAAAGAAAGCAGAGGCAGCAGCAGAAGCACTGCGAGGTACAGCAGTCGGAGAAAAGGAGGTAAAAACAGCAACACATGATCAGGATAATTCAGTCGAACACCATTCTGAAGAAAAACAAGAGATTCTAAAAGAAGAGGAACGACAAGAAAAAGAACAGCATGAAAAGCAGCAACACCAACAGCGTGAACATTCCGCACGAAATGGTGAAGAATCCGCGAAACACAAAACTGCTAATGGTACAAATGCAACCGCAATTAAGGACGACACCGACGGCAGCACCGCGGCCTCCCACACCACCTCCCCTCTTTTGCTTCTTCTTGTTGCGTGTGCGGCTGCTGCTGCGGTGGTGGCCGCGTGAGAGTGAGGGAGAGAGAGCCATGCACCGCCCGCACACACACTCGTCCTTCTCTCTCTGTGTGTGTGTCCCCTTGCATGGACTCTCGCCCTCACCTCACCCCACGAAGCACACACATAATGTGCCCATTGTATATATGCATGCACACCCATGCAGGCCCGTTGGTGCTCTCTTTTGCACGACACGCACCGCTGCCGTCCTGCCTGGCTGCATGGGCGGAGCACCGTAACTGTTTCTGTTTTGTTTTTATTGCATTGAGTGGGCGACCTCCCTCTCTCTCCCTCTGTGTGTGTGTTTTGCTTTACGGGAGCAATGAGAGTGTGTGCGCTGGTCGTCCCACGCTTCGGCTTTTTGTTTTTTTTGCGTATTTTAAATTTATTTTCCTGTTTTCTTCTTCCTTGTTTTTTTTTCTTTTTTTTCTAATCTTTTTCATTTCCCCCATCACTCCTCTTTTTGCTTTTGCTGCAATCACTATGGACGTTATTTTTTCTTTTCTACTCTTCCCTCTTTAATTGTTTCTTCTGCACTCTTCCTGCGAGGGGTGCCGTGTGTTTCCGCCCAACCGCTCCACTCGCACACCCACCGACACGCTCATGAGGACGGCCCTGTGCGCCTCGCCTGCTGCACGCATGAGGAGGGGCCGCGACGAACGGCGCGCTGAGGGAGCCGTGACGTGTGGGCGTGCGACGAGGGCCTGTGGGGCGGAGCACACATTTCTTCCCTCTTGTTTTGTTTTTATGCGGTCAGGGCGGGCAGACACCCGCAGCGCCACACACACAGCCACACCCTGCCGCCGTGTTTTTTGTTTTTTCTTTTTTGTTTTTGTTTTTGTGGATGGGTGTGTGATTGTTGAAGTTGGGGTCTTACCGCATGTATCGCTGTCATCCAGCTGTGCCTATTGCTCTGTTGATGTGCCTCCCTGTGCTCCTCCTCCTTTTTTCTGCTTTACCAGCACACAGAAAATAGGTGTTTGCACAGTACTCTGCAGTAATGTTTGGGCGAAGGTAGAGACGTTGGCTTGCGTCCCGTGCTGAAATGGCGACGCGGCTGCACGATGCCCGCCATGCGTGAAGGTGTTGACTGCTCTTGGGGCATTCTTCTCTCCTTGTTGTTTTTGCACTACTGGTTTCGGGCGTTGCTCGGTGTGTGCTGACGCGTGACGGTGCCACGATGGCCTACTCTGACGATGACAGTCGCTGTGCTCCCGGCACACCTCCACACACTCTTCCCTGTCTCTCTGTGGGAGTGATTGCGGCAGGGCATTGCTGCGAGCGTGATGGAGACCACGACGGCGTCACCCCTCGAGAAGGTCCCACGCTCCGTCGGTTGTGGAGCGGCGAGGCGGTTTGCCTGCAGCCCGACTGGCAGAACCGCACAGTCGCTTCATTGCGGTCACTCCGTCGGCATCACACGCTGCGGTGGTGTCCGCAAGAGCCGCAGCCCCGATGAGGATGGCCTCGTAGTTATCTGGCAGCTGAGAACTTCAGGCCTTCGCCCCTCAGGATTGTCCTTGCTGCTCGACTGGCGCAACACCATTCGTTGCCTTGGCCCCGCAGCGGTTATTTGCGACCTGAATTCACGCCATGAGCTGCGGGACGGTTGCTGACCATCCAAGACGGCAGGAGAGGACCTCGCCGCCACACCTTGCCGTGCGAGCGCCTGTAGTTCGTGGCACCAACTGCGTGTCTCCCACTAAACGTCCAGCCGTTCACATGGACTCGGACCACCATCTGCCATCCCACACCGCAGGGACGGAGGACGGCATCCCGCGATTGGCAGGCATGCTTCCACGACGGAAACATGTCGCCATTGTCCTGCGTGAAGCTGACTGTGATGCTTCCACCTCGGCGTGTGGAACACCTCTGGCCGCTGTAATCAAATGTTTGGAGATGCACCGAGGCACTGTGCGAGCGGCAGCCGTGACATTCCCACAGGAATCTGTACGAACGGAATGGAGCAGGCCGAATGTGTTGCAGCGGCAGCCTGCCCCGTGCTGAAGCTCTCCGCAAATGGGAGGACCGCAATCATGCCCTCCGCCATGGCTTCTCCATGCTGCCAGTGGTCCGTGCGAAACAGATTGGTGCCCTCTCGATCCCAGGCCTGTGATGCCCCGAGGCATGGCGGCGCCACGTTCCTGCCCTCTGGGATTGCCTGTACTGCGGTGCTGTTGGGACCGCGTCTGTGCTCTGCCTCCGCCGCAAACTCTTCCCTACGTGAGCACCGCCACTCCTTGCCGAGCAACAAGCGGCTGATTGACGTCCTCCTGTCCACTCCTCGGCATACTGGCACGCGGCCTGCAGATCACAAGCAACCCTTTGTGTTGGTGGTGCTGCTCCTCCTCTCTGAAGAGGCAGGACCGCCCCGACCTCCTCCGGAACCTCCACCTGGCGTGTCCACGGCACCTCCCCGTAAAACGACGAGCAGCAGATCAACGTCGCCCCGCCCAAGCTGCAGCAGCGTCTTCTCGTCCGTCCACAGTATGAAGGCACGCGCCCGACGCACTATCCCCGGCATTCCAATCGTCGCAGAAGGCCTCACATGTGGATCCTGCGACAGCTCCACGGTCTCCCCAACAGATGCCTCACGCGCAGGTCACTACCGAAAATGTCAGGCGTATCAACGAGCAAAAAACGGACAACGCACCTCTGCAGGCTCCAATGACAGCCGTAGCCCTTCAGCCACTCCTCTGCTGCAATCAACACCAGCCGCTGAGCCCCGACAATCCACGGGAGGCCGTGCCGCACACGCTGTGGGAATGCCCCCGTCCTCGACAACTGAGCATCCGACTATTTGGAAACATCACCTCTCGCACGACAGCACCGTTCAAGACGGAAAAACTGGCCACATCGCTACGGACAGCCCGCAGGCCATTAACGAACAGTGGCTGCAAAGTATAACGAAACAAATATTTCCCTTTCCTCAGCATAGAAAAAAGTCACCTTCACACTCGCAATTGCCACCAATGAATTCATTGCGCAATACCGCTCTGAGCTGCAATACTTCCTGGTGCCATCCAGGTCCCTTGTCGACACATCGATGCGGGTGGGCGCCCATCCATTCCTCCCAATGACGGTGCATGTCTGCGACGCACCCTCAGATCCAAGAGGCACGTCCCTCATCACAGCCGGGATCGACTTCGCCCTGTGGGCACGCATCGCCTTGTCAGAGGAGCAGGAGCACGTCAGGCTGGCAGCAAGGCACCCGCATGCACAACACATCACAACCAGAAGCACCAGCAGCACTGCAGACCGTGAAGTGACGTGGATCAACTGACACATGCTGTACGTAACAGAAAACATTTAATGGCTTGAGAAGGATAAGAAACACTCACAATATCTCAAAAGGAAAAATAAGGAAAAAATGAAAAAGAGAATTTAAGCGTACGCAGTCAAAAAAAACAAACAATAATCGATAAAAAAAGAAACAAAAAGCCGAAGCGTGGGACGACCAGCGCACACACACTCTCATTGCTCCCGTAAAGCAAAACACACACCCAAGGAAAGAGAGAGGTCGCCCACTCAATGCAATAAAAACAAAACAGAAACAGTTACGGTGCTCCGCCCATGCAGCCAGGCAGGACGGCAGCGGTGCGTGTCGTGCAAAAGAGAGCACCAACGGGCCTGCATGGGTGTGCATGCATATATACAATGGGCACATTATGTGTGTGCCTCGTGGGGTGAGGTGAGGGCGAGAGTCCATGCAAGGGGACACACACACACAGAGAGAGAAGGACGAGTGTGTGTGCGGGCGGAGCACGGCTCTCTCTCCCTCACTCTCACGCGGCCACCACAGCAGCAGCAGCCGCACACGCAACAACAAGAAGAAGCAAAAGAGGGGAAATGGTGGGGGAGGCCGCGGTGCTGCTGTCACTGTTTTGTGTAATCGTCGCCGTATGATTTGTTTGAGTGACGGTGACTGTTGAATGGGGTGATGCATCACTCATTTTGACGCTTCTGCTTTCACTGTCTTTAGGCGGCGTCATGGAAGTTGTTTGAGTGGTAACGGTCGGTGCGGCTGTGGAAGTTTCCCGAGGTTGTTCCAAGGAAGAAGTGACTTTTTCACGCTCCTGCCCCTCTTCTGACGGTGCGGCATCAAGAGTTTCAGTACTCCCCGAATTATCTTCTGTGCGCTCCTCACTATTACGGCTGACGGTATTGTTGTTAGTGGAATAGGGTGGAGGATTATTAATTTCTGGACTTTCAATTGATGCATGCTTCGTGTCCTCTTGACTGGGTAAAGCCCCCGATTCCCCTGGCGAATTCTCGGGTGTTCCATCACGCCGCTCTTCTTGGAATGATTTTGAATGTGGCGGTGGATCCGTATTTTCTTGGTCGGAGTGTGGCTGCTCTGTCAGTGGTTCAAGCTTTAAAGCATCTTGCAATGGCGGGGACCCGGATGCAGATCCTTTAACGGGGTTCAACTGTAATTCCTTTGCAGAAACGTCTCCTGCTCCACCAGGCGCCGTATGACTTGTGGCAGTGTCGGGAACAACACCACCACTCGCAGAATCAACGGTTATTTCGGCAGAAGCTGCCAACTTCTCAGTGCATCCGCCTCCGCCGGCACCGCACCACAGCACGCAGAGGGCACACACCAGCAGCACACGGCCAGTCATCATCATCGCCATCACTCCTGTCACTTGCGTGTAGCCTTCAGCACAAACTAACGCCCCGTCAACAGAGAGTGAAAGGAAAAAGAAGAAGACACGGCCGCTACAACAGTCACGCCAAAGCAACAAGTGACAAATGGGAGCACCCCAGAAGCAGCACACAAGATGAGGCAGTTGGAATCAGTGAGAAGGCAAAAAATGCACGCACACACACAGCCCTGCAGCAAACTATAAGCAAGAAAAACAGACAAAAAACAATTAAAAGCAAAACAGTAAACAAACAGCAATTAAGTAAAAACAAGTAAAAACACAAAAAACAAGCTGCAAAGAATGGCTCCAGTGTGCATGCACCAGTACACAAACAAGCGTTCACGCAAACAGTTGTGAGCCTTTCGTGCATATGAGTGTGTCTGGTACGCGTTCAACGTGACGGATGTGGGGAACAATGCGGAACACACAGCAGGGCAGCGGAAGCAAATGAAGCAAATCACACAAACATTATTTTCTCTTACTTATTTACATCGGACCACGGTAGACGTGCACAAGTCCCCGTGGTTGAGTGCTGGCACGCACAGCCCGCATGCACCTCTTCAGCCCACAGTGGTGTACGCCAGCGCGGATGCGGCGAGCAGCAGCGGGGCACACACCCACGCAGAGCTGCTGAGGCTGCCGTCGATTCTGCGAAGAAGTGACGGTGCGCGGGTGGTCGTCGTGGTTGGAGTCTCTGTAGTCGTAGTACTTGGCGCCTGTGTTGTAGTGGTCGTGTTTGTAGTGGTCGTCGCTGTGGTTGTCTCGGCAGAAGCTTCAGTCGGCTGATTCTCTGTTTGGTCTGCTGAGAGACTTCTGTGTGTACTCCCAGGCGCTGTCGCACCGTTTCTATCTGCTGTCTCTACCGTAATGGTTGCTTCGTTTGATAGCGTTAACTTACCATTCAAAGGTGTTCCTTCTCCGTCAACCTTTCCCGACACCGCACCTGACCCAGGACCTTGCGGCCCTGACTGACCGGTCACCTCATGTGGTTTCTCTGATGCAAGGGACGGTGGGGCAGACGGTGGGCTGCCGCCGCTTCCACCAGTTACAACTTCAGTCGACTGTGTGTCTGATGCATACACAGAGGGGCAGTAGCACAGGGCAAGCACCAACAGGGCGCACAGCAGACGGCACGTCATCATCGTGAGTGTGGTCGTTCAGTGGTGTGGAGCTGATCTGCACAGTGAGGGACATGGAGAGCAACAGGGGAGACGAGAGGTGCGGCAGACACACACAGAGGGCACACCGCATGAGGAGAGGGCAGCAGCCAGGCATGCACCGTACGCCGCACACCACGCACGACACACACTCCAATCCACGGCAGCAGGCACACACACAAGAGTGCACTCTGTAATACTTACATTGTACAATTGTTGTGGTCATTGCATGCGGTCACACAAAAGGAGTGAGAAAAGGAGACCACTACGGCTAGACATCAGACTGTAGGCTACCAGAGGGTCAAAAAAGGCAAGAGGGCCGCGCCGCGTCGGCAGTCGGTGCGCCACTTGCTTGCAGACCAGGCGTCGTGCGCGGTTGGTGTCGCTCATCGTGACGCATACGCCCTCGTAGCCCCAGAGGGTGGAACAGCCAGCGCCAACCCAAACACAGCTGTCAACACGCCATTGCCACAATCGTGAAGAGCCGGCTGGCACCACACACGGCAAGAAGGACACACCAAAACACGCCATGCACCAAAGGGGCGCATCAAGCCCGCAAACAGTGCGCACCGCTCCAACACCGCACGGTCCTCCCGCACGCACGCACCATCCTCCTCCTTCCTTATCTCCGGCTCATTGCCGCCACATCCGGCACCCGCACCTCACAATACCAGAGGGAAACACAAAACAGCTGAAGCAGCAACAACAGCAAAACTGCCACCTTGTTGCGCTGACGCCACTGCACGAAAGGGTGCGCCGAAGACGCGAGTCCATCGCGCAGGAGACGGAAATGAGCCCAACGAGACACCCAAGAGCCACACGTTGGCAGTCTTGTCGGGGCTGCCCCAACGCAACCACAACAAATAGTGCCGCAACCACGGAGCCATGCACCCTGACCCACAGCGCGTTTTCACAATCAGAACAGCAGGGACAGAGGGAATTAAGACACACTACCCACAGTGCAGCAGAGCACCCGAAACACACACAGCCATTCAAGAACGAACGCAAAAAGCCGGGAAGGCAAAAAAATAAAAAGGGCGCATACGGATTGAAAGCCGAAGCACAGAAATTATCTGAGGTCCACATTCTCGCAATAACGCACACAAAAAAGCAAAGTCACAAAACCAAGCAAAAGCGTAAAAGATAAAGCCGCATGCACCAATTACGGAGGCAGAGGCAGTCGTCCCTGTCCTTCAGAGAAACAGCTGCTGACACGACCCCGCTTCCATTGGAGCGCATTTCCTTTACTTTTTACTCATGATTAGAGTACGGTGGTTTCCCCTCGTCCCAATCGCATCAAAAAACGCGTGTATACATGTGGTGCTGGGAAACGTCTTTTCTCTCCATGTTACTTCGTTCGCACACAGTTTTCACGGAAGTTGAACCCTCTAAACAAAAACACCTTTTCCCAGAATAACAAAAAATGCAATAAAAGACCGGTCATTTTGACCATCACCGCAAGCAATGAAGGACATGGGGAATGCAGTGAGTGTATTATATTGTTATTGCTACGGTTTGCACGTCTTGAGTGCGGGGTCAATGTGCCAAGTAAATACTGTCGCCTGCCGCAGTTTGATTGCGCCCAGCCGCCGCGGCTGCTCAAAGAGGCACCACCACTACCGCCGCAGCAACCACAACAAGAAGCACAAAGGGAACGAGGCCAGCGGTAGCAGCAGCCACACAACAATCACTGTCGGCCTGCTGTACCAACGCATCGGGTATCACCTGGAAATCGTCGCTGTTGACGGACGGAATCGGAGTGGCAGGCGCGGAGGCACTGGGAACCACCGCTGGGCAATCCGCCCGCGGGTCGCCCTCCGCTCGTGCAACGTCCTCGCCGGGCGATGGCGCAAAAAAGCGTCGGGGCCGGAGGCTCCGTTGGCTCCCTTGCTCCCACTGCCAGGTCTCCTCCCTCGCCGCTGAGTGTTGTCCTCACTTTCGGTCCGCACCCCCGGATCACCCCTTGGACCGGCATGAGGGCCACCACCAGCGACACCCGCAGCCGAAGCACCGGGAGGCTCCTTTTCAATGGAGGCACCAGACGCCACAGGAGACAACTGTGGACGAGTATCCTCCTGAGAGGGCGACCCTGAAGCAACCGCAGACTCTTCTGCTTCCTCCTCTTGCTCGTCACCCTGTCCATTCACCAACGCACTCGGAACGACAAGACTGCTGCCGTTCGCGGCAATGGTGCACACCTCGCCGTACGTGAGGCATGTGATCCTCCCATCTTTCTGAAAATCTTTCAACGTCACTGGGATGTCAGTGTCCTCAGGGCAAGGCTGAAAAACACTGCTGCCGAGGTGCTTCATCCTCACTGTGCCCTCCTCACACGACACCTGCGCGCACACTCCCTTGACGCTTTTATGGCTATCACCGTCCTTCGTCTCCAGTAATTCCGCGTCCAGGCACAACGAGCCACCGCCAGTCAGCGACCCACGGAGATAATCCACATTTTCGTCCGAACACGTCCTGTACGTTGTCCCAGACGAGATTGTGTGAAATTCCAAAGAAACAACAGGGCAGACGTCCTTATCCACCAGATTCCCCTTGCCCTCAACGATGCTTGCGGTGCACGTCCCAACGTGACGGCGGTCGGAGGCGCAGCGAAGCGTCTCTGTGTCTTTAGCATCGCAGAACATGTGAGGATACTTGGCGGCAAGATTATCGGTTGTAATGCACTTGTTGACCAGGAAGTCGCAGCCACTGCGGCTGCCCAGCTCATCGGCTCCGCCATGCTCCAATTCACGCGGTAGTATCCAATATCCTCAAAAGCTGCCATCGTCAGAGCCGTGTAGTAGCCGGCACCGAATGTGGGGGCCATCAGCTCGTCCCGCGCGTGGCGTCCCTTCCAGTGAGGGACTTCTTTTTCCCGAGGGCCACCTTCGTCCTCCAGCACCATGCCCTCGAGAGAGTCACAACCAAAGTGCGCTTTCGCCTTCTCCTGTATGTGCTTCCCACGCACACTTCTCTCTCGCTTCTTCACCAGGCTCTTTTCTTCCATGCTCTCCTGGCTGAACCCAAGGACATGCGCAATTTCGTGTGCGGCAACGCGAACGCTCCACGCCGTGTCGGTCATGTACTTCGGATCAAAGTTCATGGCGCCAATGTAGGGGCGAAGATCCGTCGATGTGTTGCACGTGGCCGCCCACACAACGCACACGGAGCGAGCACCCACCACACCAGCCACAACCGCTAGTGGACCCTCATCCATCATGGCGCGGCACCAAAATTTCAGCCATCCCGCCATCAATGGGGCACGGAGCCCAACTCAACGCAGCCACACGCGGTGCTCCACACCCGCAGGAAAGGTGATGCGGGCTGCGCACTCTATTCCTTCGCCCTTCTCCTCATGGCCACGGAGGAAGACAACAGCCGCCACACGCAACTGCCAGCATGCACTACAAAAGAAGCATTCAAATCCATTGCAATGTGCATCTTGTGTGTGTGTGTGCAGAAACACAAAGCAAAGAAGTAAAGAAAGGAAGCAGAGTATGTGAGGGGACGCACAAAATAAAATGTACAGCGGAGGTGCGTGGCGGAAGCAACAAGAAGAAGACCGCTCAAACTCACGATTGCACTGTAGCCCAAGCAGCGACAATTCACACAAGATTTATCCAAAACAAAAAAAGCTTTCCCCTTCATCTTACACAAACCCCATCACACAAAATAATTATAAATAAATAAAAAAGAAATCGTCCATTACTGTTCCACAAATTAAAAAAGCAGCCGGCTGCCGTGTGGCCACACCAAACCGTCTGCATATTTTTTGCCCGCAAAATAAAATTAAAAGATATTTAAATGCCTTTCAAACGTCCGACCCTCTGTGTGTCCGCACATCGTTTATATTTCATGGGGTCATCCGCGTGTTGCTGCTCCCCTCAGCCCTCCCATCGGCGCGTGAGTGCGGCCCGCAGAGCACAGTCACTCGTGTGTGTGGGACTGAGAGAAGCACGCAGACGGCGGTACGGCCTCAACCTCAACAATCACGCACAGTGGCAACAAACACCCACAAAAAACAACAAAAAAATCACGGCGGCAGGGTGTGTGTGTGTGCGTGTGGCGCTGCGGGTGTCTGCCCGCCCTGGCCGCAAAGAAAACAAAACAAGAGGGAAAGAAATGTGTGCGCCGCCCCACAGGCCCTCGTCGCACGCCCACACGTCACGGCTCCCTCAGCGCGCCGTTCGTCGCGGCCCCTCCTCATGCGTGCAGCAGGCGAGGCGCACAGGGCCGTCGTCGTGAGCGTGTCGGTGGGTGTGCGAGTGGAGCAGTTGGGCGGGAAACACACGGCACCCCTCACAGGAAGAGTGCAGCAACAAACAATTAAAGAGGGAAGAGTAGAAAAGAAAAAACCGTCCATAGTGATTGCCCCCGAAAGCAAAGAAGAGAAGGGATGGGGGACGTTGGAAAAACAAACAAACAAAAAAGAATAATCTTCCGGGCAGCTGGCCGGATCCTGAAATTATCTATGGAAACCAAACAAGTTAGGAAAAAAGGTTCTTTAGTTAATTGCTTCAATGTTTTATTCTCATTCAATATATAGAATTCTGTGGACCACCAGCATGGTCCTTTGTCCTCAGTTAGGACTTAAATATTATTAATTACGAAGTGGCAGACTTTGGGGTCCTCCAACCACAAGACCCCGCCGCTCCGCTTCGCCAATTCCTGAAGTGTAAACACACGACCGCGTGATATGCCGTCTGCGGGGCTGTCTGCAGACCGCACGTAGGCAAAAGTTGCCTGTATTCCGCGAGAGTCCAAAAACTCGTATATCCGTTGCAGCTCCCACGTCATGGCGTGTGATTTCGAGCTGCCTTTATTCTCCGCTCCCTGCAGCGAGGTGTTGTCCACCCAAACGTCCATGGTGGATGGCAGGATGGCGGAAAAGGCCGATAAGGCTAAGCGTACCGCACGCACCTCAGCCGCATGATAAGAAAAGGCTTCCTCTCCCATTTCCCTCCGGCAATTTTAACGTCGCCGGAGTC